CCTTCACATTCACAGCAGCACTTAATCAGCACCATGTTATTCACACATACAGTAGCCTAGTGCACGTTTTAATGCAGCACTGAATACATATAAAAGGCACCAGTTAGTGTCTGTGTTCCTACTGATTTGATGCTTAAGAGTATCCTAATGCATGTTAACTTATTTAACTAGTAGAGCCATAAAGTTGTGTTCCCCTAAAAGTTATGATGATGAACTGGAGAAATTGCAATTTTCATGAAAGGCGGTGTGAATGCTGAATGACTTGGCTGAAATGAAACTGAGTTCTTAAAGCTGAAGCTAGAAGCTAAAGAAGTAAAACATAACCTAGAAGTCAAAAAATAGAAATGCTGGCTACAAGTTACTGTAGCAAAACATTAGAAAAAAATCTTAAAGTGGCATAGCCTAAGGCTACCCTTAGCAAAAAGTAGTATATGCAAGTATCCATTAAGTATACTAATTTTAAACGTAAAATAAAAAGTATATTTCCAGTTTACTTTTATGTACTTATCTGAGAATTACTTAACCAAGTTTAACTTACACTTCACTTGGCTTGTACTAAAAGTACACTAAAGGTTTAAGTATACTTTATATTAATGTTTAAACTTTTGGTCAACATAAACATCAGTAGTCACTGAAAGTACATTTTCACCACAGACTGGTTTATTAGTAGTACATTTCAAGATTAAACTAAAACTATACTTAATTACTTTCAGTATACTACTGAGTATACTTTCATAAACTTTTGTGGGCAAATTTAGTCCTAGAAGTATGTGTTAGTAAACTGCTGGTGCAGGTATATCAGTATACATAGTAAATAAAAGTACACTTAGGGAAATATACTATGGTTCACTTTATATACTTGATGACATGTACTTAGTTTACTTCTTTTTGGTAAGTACATAAACTTCAAAAAGACATAACAGTATGCTTAAAGTATACTTTTTATAAACGAAAACGTCCCAATTTAGTACGAACAAGTATTAAAATCAGTATACTTTCTAGTACACAAGTACATGGTGCCTAGTGTACTTGATATACTTAAATGTATACTCAAGTATATTTATTAAAATGAACTTCAAGTATACTACTCTTTGCTAAGGTACAAACCTCTGACTAAAAGCTATAAAATGTATCAAAACAGTAGCTAAAGCACAATGCCAGCTAAAAACTAAAAGTAACAAGTTAGTTAAAAGTATCTCAAGACTAACAAGAAGCTAAATTTATTAAAACCCTGTCTAAATGCTACAAGAGGTCCCTGAAGTAGCAATAAATGCTAAAAGTAGCAGAATTGCAGACCTGTAGTCTAGTTAAAAATAGCTAAAGGCTAGCTAAACATAGTTTAAAAAAACTAAAAAAGGAAACTATTTTGAAAATGAAACAAAAATTTATGTAGAACTCAACTTGAATGAAATGAATTGATGCAAAAATATGAAAAAAAAGACTGATTTTCTTAAAATACAATTTTATTTGTGAATTTAAACAGATTAGCGATACATCTAAAAGCAACTCCATTAGATAACCATTTTATATAGGATTTTCACAGGTCACAAAGGAGCTTGGCTCATACAGGTGTGCCAAAGTAAAACGTGTTAATTTTTCTTTTAGCAGAGAAAAAAAAAAGATGAATAAAGAGGCATTAGTAAAGCAAGGTGCAAACCGTCAGAAAAAAAAATGATGGGGTGGAAATAAAAAGCATGAAATGCACATTCAGTTCATTTGGGAGCAATAGCTGCCCATAAAATGCTCAACTAAAAAGAAGCCTACAAACTAAGAGAAAATAGTGTACTGCGATACAAATGAAGAATGAACAAACAAACAAAAAAAAAGTCTGGGTGATAAAAACATGGTGTTCATGTCAGGTTGTCCATTTTCCATGTCCCTCTTGAATACACACAGAAGTACACAACTGGATTTCCAAGGCCCACAACTCTCTGCTCCATCGTTTAGTTGTGTGACCTGAGCTCGTCGCCCAGAGCCAAAAAGCTGTCGTTTAACACGGCTAAAGATGCTCCTTAACACCCTCCCTCCAAATCCAATAGTTCACATTGCTAGCTGGGATATTGGTACATCTACTTAAACTGCAGTGGGGGGGAAGGGGGATATTTGGACAACCCATCACACTTTGGCTGAGCAGAGTTCAGCTGCAGGTCATCTGACTGTTGCAGCATGACTGTGTTTAACTGAAGAAAATCAGCCTCACATTGTGATCAAACAAAAACAAAATGTCCACGAGCTTCCAGTAATGTTCCAGTTCTGGGAAGAAAAAAAAGGGCAAACGAAATAGGCAGAAGTGAATCTTGAATTTAGCTGGAAAAAAATTGACTTAAGATGAGTTGATGCAGTCTCTGTGACGAGGGAAGCTTTTTACAAAAGGATCTGTGATGCCTCAGCAGGCAGCTGAGAATCAAAACCCTTGTCTCAGTAAAATTATATAAAAAAAAAGAAAACTGCAGTATGGCTTTAAAACACACTAAAACACCACATTAAAAAAATATCCCGACTCTGCTTTAAACAGCTCAGGATTTAGCTGAAGATTACAAAACAGGTTTGACACGTTTCAGTCAAAATACTCATGGTTGGATCATGGAGGCAGCAGGTTCAGAAGGGAAACTCAGACATCCCGCTCCCTAGTGACACACTCTGGCTCCTTCAGGGAAATCTGTTCCCAGACCAGAGAGGATGGTAAAACCCTTCAGGGAGTTCTGGGTCTGCTACCAATGGGACGAGGCGCTCGGTTGGTATCTTACCCAGGTGTTCAACCTACATCCACTGACTCCTTTCCAAGCAGAAGAGCAGCGTCTGAATTCAGATGATGGAGCTCCTCAACTTATCTCAAAGGCTGAGCCTACAAAGGAAGCTTGTTTAAATCCATTATCTTTTAGATCTTACTGCCGTAGATGCAAGGGCGGAGCCAGACTTTTTTTTGCAAGGGGTGGGCAAGGTGTTTTTAGGAGGGCATACAAATAAAGGAAAGCACCCTGGATTTAAAAATTAAATGTCCACCGCAGTTAATTCCAAATGGCCTCATTATTTCAGCTGTTTTATGAAACTGAAGAAATTTATAGTTATTACAGGTTAGTACTGACGTTAGAAGCACAGCACTATATTCTTAGGTTTTCCTTTTATAATGTTGACAATGTTTATTCTATTATGTGTTGATTGATATAGAGTAGTTACATGTCCGAATTATAGACAACACATAATTGAAACGTTATTATAACATTAGATTGAGACTTTTGTATGAATGCCTGTGATTCAGACGTAGGTCAGTAGGGGGCGAACTCAGGCATTGAAGAATCATGCATAAATTGATGCACTTCCTGGCTTTTGGCCAGTGTGGTTTCCTGTCAGCTCCGCTTGGCAACAAACCCCACTCGGTTCCAGATTCTGGTTTTGTATGGTTTTATTCCTTCTACACATCATTTTATTTAACTTTGGTGGTTTTCATATTGACTTGACTTCAGTCTATTGAACACGTAATTTTCTTACAAAACAATGAGCAGAAATTATGTGACCACTGCTAAGAATGATCCAAAAAAACATGCCGAATGCTAGTCCCAACAGCTAAAATAAACAGATAAACACAGCAACAGATAAAGTAGCTGAAAGCAATTTTGACCAAATTCCAAATGTTAATCAAAAATTTAAGATGGCCACCAAAGCTAAGTTTAAAAGCCTACAATTCAATTATTTTCAGACATATTGAGATGACATTTGTTGTGGAATAGCTAAGAAAGACCTTGGATATTCGTTCCCCCATGTTTATGTGTGTGTTTCTCCTACACATTCTCACTCCCATGTCGTCACATATTGACGCTTTTCCAAGGTTCCCTCTACGTCCGATTTTGACGCATCAGGTGCCCCCCTCGCGTCAGTCCTTGACGCCCGCGGCTTTTCCGGGTTGCGCCACCAGGGGTCTTTGGGTCGGGGGTCTGAGGTTAACATGAGGGATCAGGATTAATGGTTAAGTTTAGGTACTGGGATCAGGGGTAGGATGTCCATGGTGAATATTAGGTAATTTCAGGCTTTGGAACATGTTGACGTGAATTTCCTACATTTTCTAAAAATGGTTAATTTTAGGTACTAGGGTCAGGGACAGGATGTCTAAAGTGAACAAAGGTAATTTCAGGCTTCGAAACAGTAGTTTTTGCGCATTTTCTACACTTTCTGAAAATATGACAACAGCTTCCGCCCCATCTCGTCAGTAACTGACGTGACGGGGGTACCCTGCGCGTCAAAATCGGACGTAGAGGGAACCTTGGAAAAGCGTCAATATGTGACGACTTGGGAGTGAGAATGGGTTGGTTTCTCCGAACGGATGTTCTAAACTGCAATTGCGTTCTGCAGTGCATCTTTGATGTTGTGTGTGAATGACGATAAATGCTTCTGATTCTGACTGATTACATATCGATTATCAATGCTAATCCCACATTAAATTAAATTAACCACTAATGCTAAATTAAAATTTACAAAGGGCTCTAGCTCAACACGCACAGCCGAGATTGAATATAAAATCTTTAAACAAAATCTAAGAGCCTCATCCGCTTGTTACTTTTTTGGGGGTGGCACCTAGGGTGGCCAATCCCAGGCGCCCCTCTGGCTCCGCCCCTGCATAGATGAGAATCGGAAGGTTGGCAAACGAATAAATTTAGAGCTTGGCCTTTTGGCTCTGCTTCTTCATCCTGATGATGTGTTGATCCCTCTCCTGCTCCATCCTACCATCACACAACTCAAAACTCTTTAAACACAGATTAACACGGACCCACAGAAAACATTCCACCTTTTGCTCAGGTTTAGAAAAGCTGTTCTCTCAGTTCAGGTGCTTCACACCGGATAACTTCACGCTGGAGCTCACAAGTCAAAGACGCCAACAGAAACACATCATGGACAAAAAAAGCAGAGATGAGACGCTGAGTTTCTCAAACCTAACCAAATCCCTTCCACGGCCGCGCCTCACTTGTTGAGAAGTAAAACCTTTTGTGTTGTTCTTCATATGTAACACCATCGAGATTATCTCTATTTTTCTTCCTTCAGCTCACTTTCCTGATCCCGACCTTTTACAAAATACAAACGCCTTGCTCGCTACTTGCACGGTCTCAACCAAAACATCATAATCCCCTTCACTGGTGAAACAGACCTGCAGCTAAAACTGGGTTACATAGTACAAAAAAAAAGTGCTGCACGACAAACAAAAAGTATATATACTGTCACTACAAATCTATATCCAGTTTTCCTATCATTCTTTTAAGTAGTAACTCTGTGTTTTTGAGCCAACAGGATGAAAATAAACTTAACCGTAAAAGTATAAACTATAATGTTTGCATTCTTTGTAACAAGGTTGGTCACCACAGAATTTAAAATTCAATTAAAACAATCAACAGAGATGCGTCACTAAAATGAGATTTTTTTAGTCATCATTCCTCCATTTCATTTGGCAAAAAAAAAAAAAAAAACAGAGGATCAGATGAAAAAATGCTACATAAATGAGATAAATGTTTCAAAAAAACTTAGACTTTCATATCATCCCTAGTCTAACAACCCAATTCAATCATCTTTTTAAAAAATTCTGCATCTAAAACAGTTTGAATGATGGCAGAAAGCCCCCAGAATAATAAACCAGCACAAACCTGCCAACTCATCGTTTTTTTTTTCCTAAACAAGTTTTCCAGTGTGACTCCAAGTTGAATGTGGCCTCTCATGTCCCTTACACAGAATCAAGAAAAAACACAAACGTGCAACTTTTAAACACTCATTTCATAAAATCTGAGTATAAAAGAATACAAAAAAAAAAAAAGAGCCAGTTAGTCAGGATTTATATGAGACGTTCCAAGGAGCCTTGTTAAAGTACTGCATGAGTTACCAGGTATGTAGACCCACCTGCCTTCATCACCATCGCCTGTTGCAGGTTTATGTGTGGACTCACACACACACCCATCCCAAAAGTTCCCAAACATTCTTGTCTGTTTGCAAAACTGCTTTTTTAAAATCTTGTTTTTTTTCTGCTTTTTGCACATAAAACCTCTTGTTAAAAAAAATCAAATATAATTAAAACAAACAGAAAAAAAACATAAAAGGACAAACAAACAAAAAGCCTATAAATGGAAAGAAAGGGTTAATGCAGCCTTTCTTTCCTCTTTAAGCTCTTCCTGACTCCCTCCCTCTGTTTGCTCTCAGGCCTCTGTTTTCTCTTTCTTTTTGTTTTTCTTCAGGAAGGACGGTGTGCGGAACTTCTTCTTCTTCTTGGTGTTGGGCGACTTGGAGGGCGAGCTCTCGGGCGACAGCACCTCCTCGATCTTCTCGCCAGCGCTCACTGTGATCTCCACGCTCTCCACGCTGGTGGTCAGCTGACTGACGCGCCTCGACAGCTCCTCATCATGGTTGTCTTTGCCATTCATCAGGCCCGTGTGGTTCTCTGGGGAGCGGGTGAGACACTGATTAGGCAAAAACAACATGCTTTGGGCACTCAGTTCTGATCATCTGTTTCTAAACATCAACTTTGCTTGTCTGTTAGCAAACTATCTCATGAGCCAGAGTATAGATTTTAAGGAAACCTTCAGAAAGTATTCATTGGATGTGCATACACCTTAGCTTTTAAAGTCAGGACAATTAAAGATGGCCACCACACCTAAATAACATCAGCTAACACAAAATAGGCTATAATTCAGTTAGATCTATAGATAGTGAGCTACAATTTGATGTGGTAGTATCATGAGCATGGCAACTCTAAAGTTCATTAAATTGCACATGATGTAATTTTCAGGGAAAAAAACCTGGTCGTGGAACACTGGACCAGCTCTACACCCTCAGCAGGGTCCTGGAGGGATCATGGGAGTTTGCTCAACCAGTCTACATGTTTTGTAGACTTGGAGAAGGCATTCGACCATGTCCCTCAGGGACTCCTGTGGGGGGTAGTCCGGGAGTATGGGGTACCAGGCCCATTGATACAGGCTGTTAGGTCCCTGTATGACCGGTGCCAGAGCTTGGTCCGCATTGCTGGTAGTAAGTCGGACTTGTTTCCAGTGAGAGTTGGACTCCACCAAGGTTGCCCTTTGTCACCGATTCTGTTCATAACTTTTATGGACAGAATTTCTAGGCGCAGCCAAGGTGTTGAGGGGATCCTTTTTGGTGACCTTAGGATCACATCTCTGATTTTTGCAGATAATGTGGTCCTTTGGCTTCATCAGATGTTGATCTCCAGCTCTCACTGGAGTGGTTCACAGTCGAGTGTGAAGCGGCCAGGAAGAGGATCAGTGCCTCCAAATCCAAGACCATGGTCTTGAGCTGGAAAAGGGTAGGTTGCCTCCTCCGGGTCGAGGAGGAGGTCCTGCCCCAAGTGGAGGAGTTTAAGTATCTCGGGGTCTTGTTCACGAATGAGTGAAGAATGCAGCGGGAGATCAACAGGTGGATTGGCGCTGCTTCTGCAGTGATGCGGGTGCTGCACCGGTCTGTCGTGGTGAAGCGGGAGCTGAGCCAGAAGGCAAAGCTCTTGGTTTATCGGTCGGTCTACGTTCCTACCCTCATCTATGGTCATGAACTTTGGGTAGTGACCAAAAGAACGAGATCGCAGATACAAGCGGCCGAAATTAGTTTCCTTCGCAGGGTGTCTGGGCTCTCTCTCAAGAGGTGAGAAACTCAGTCATCCGGGAGGGACTCAGAGTAGAGGCGCTGCTCCTCCACATCGAGAGGAGCCAGTTGAGGTGGCTCTGGCATCTGGTTAGGATGCCTCCTGGACGCCTCCCTGGTGAGGTGTTCCGGGCACATCCCACTGGGAGGAGGCCCAGAGGAAGACCCAGGACACGCTGGAGGGACTACTGTATGTTTCTTGGCTGGCCTGGGAATGCCTTGAGGTTCCCCCGGATGAGCTGGCCCAAATGGCTTGGGAGGGGGAAGTCTGGGTCTCTCTGCTTAGGCTGCTGCCCTCATGACCCGACCCCAGATAAGCGTCAGAAAAAGGACGTACGGACAGTAATTTTCAGGTTTTGATCACAAATTTTGTCATTTCTTAACATAAGATGATCTTAGTCTACATCTCTGGCAAAACATGTACTTTAGAGAAACGCTAGGCCTCTAATTATTCTCAGAATTATTACTTTCTAATAGAAAATCTATTTTTTCTTCTTTTTATTGTCTAAGGGCCATTTTAAACTCACAAATGTGTTTATTTAGTATCTATAGTAAAAATGAACAATACATTGAAGCACATACCGTATAAATACCTGCACACAAAATACAGAAGAACATAACATAAGAGAACAATATGAAATGTGATAATGGATAAACATGCAGTTGTTGCTTTTCTTTCAGCTGTTCCAGCACTGACCACCAAGCTATTGTGCACATACCCTTGATTATTAAACTGTAAACTTAATATATGTCACATTTTGTCTTGTATCACATTAATTTGTTTTCCTTTAAAAAAAACATGGTTTACACCTCCTGTTTTTATGCTGTAAAAGCTTGTTGTCGAATGCATTAAACATGCTAATTCTATTTGTGCTGCGCTTTCATTGACTCATCAAGCTCAGCGTATTTCAAAACATCCCGGTCTAAATGACGCAGCGACCTGATGGCCCCTTTCAGCCTCACAAAACGGAGCTTTGAACCACAGCGTGAACCCACTTTGGTAATGAATGTTCATGTAACAGGCCCACCGATAGCGTCACATTCTTTTCTCCAGCAGGTTACAGGATCCAGGGCAGCCGTTTCACGTTTCAACACTCAACGTGGAAGGCCTCTCAGGTTGTTTACACCTTTAAACACACGTGACGATGTTAGGAGGCAGTGACTACAACATTTAACCTTGTTTCAGCAGCAGAAATGGCTGAACCCATAACGGCGGCGGCAGAAAATATAGGACCCCTAAGTTTGTGGGCTGTCATAGGGTAATTGCTAGTGTAGATTTGCGTGTTTGTGTTGGAAGGAAGCTGACAGGAACTCGATCCCATGGTGCCATTATTTATAACTGGTAATGGGGCATCTGTGATCTTTGTGTTTCTCTGAGGTACATTAACAAGTTTCAAATGTCAGACGACAGAACTTAAGAGGCAAAACACAGTGTCCTGACTGCAGCAGCAGATAACAAATCATCGCATGCAACACTACTGAACGGTCATCGTAATTATCCAGGATTATTTTACAACTTCAATCAAACCCAAAACCATAAAAAAAGATTATTTCTTTGACAAATTCTATATAGTTGTGCACATACAGATGCTAAAATTTGCATTCCTTTACTTTGGTAAAAACATTACTTTGCCCTCGGCCCAGTAGTTAAAATATTTGCATCAGCTTTACACATAAATATAGAGCCGCTGCATTAGGTTAGCTCGTTTTGTTTTGCATAATGACAGAAAAATAAAATAAAATATAATATAATAAAATAAAAGTTATAATTAGTTATGAAACTGATACAGCACACATCAGCATGTCCATTGAGTTTTCTGTAAAATTAATTTTATTCTTTCAACAAAAAAAATGCATTAGAAAACAGCAAACACTGTAATGGCCACTGTGCCATAAATGAATTTGTCATTTAGCTGGTTTGTAGGCATTTGTCATATCATGTTTAGTTCACTTATTCTTTTCAAGTCAGATAATTATTTAGTTTTCTTACCCCTGGGTAAAGTCAGGAAATTATTTAGGTTTGGGCTCATTTTTTTTTGAGCATGTAAAAAAATAGATTCTGAGCACAATTTTCAGATTTACTGTTCAATTATTAATCTCAGCAAGCTTTCCAAAAATGTAAATGCAGGATTTTGAATTCAAAGACAGCCCATAATAAGCAAACAATATATATTTAGCACAAAAATTAAGGAAATTGTGTTTGGCACATTATTCCTTTGTTGTAACAATGCTTCTTGGCAATCAATCTTATACCAGAGAAATGTGCACAGCCCACATACTCAGCTCTACTGCTCATCCCAAAAATGCATGTTCCTTACAAATGTGACACCGTTTAAAAAGGAATTAAAAGGCTTTTCAACTAGGGGTGTAAGAAAATATCGATACACTGAAATATCGCGATATTTCATTTCCCGATACTGTATCGATATTCTAAAGCCCTGTATCGATTTTTTATTAAGGTTTAAAATGTCAACTTTCCTGCCAACCATTCATCAAACGTTTATGATGTGCTTTTGTTTTTAATTCAGGAGATTATAAAAAAATCCTTCATTTTATGGAAAGACTCGATTCAAGAGAAAACTCTGGTTTTTAAGAAAATGGCCGCTTATCAATTATTAGTCATTCTATAAGATAAACCAACTTCAGATTAATTAATTAATC